CCACTGTCACGCTCGGCCCCGGGATCGCGCGAGTGTCTCCGACCGCCGGGAACGCCCCTGCGGTGCCCTTCCTTGCCCAGCCACATGCCTCCGTGAGGCTGGGTCTTCTTTTGCTACAACAAGATAACGTATTGAACAGCAGGGCGTGGACGCGGACACAGCTGCTGTCTCCCCATCCGCACGGACGTGAGACAGAACTGCGGGTGTGAGAGGGTGCGATTCTCTTCAGTAAATAGGCTGTTTTATTACTAACAAATGCCGTTTGTGCGCACCTGTGATGGGCGTACTATCATTTCTATATAAATTAATAATTTTTTAGAGGTTTTTGCTATAGAGTGCATTAGTTCTCCAGAGAGACAGAGAGACAGAAAGTGAGAAATCACCCCTGGGGGGATGGCCATGTCACAATCCCTTCCCTGCTCTCCTGGGACTGGGGCACACATGCACACGGACCAACATGAGTTTCAAGCTGCCGGGCCTGGGACTTGAACCACAGTTGACCATGTGGGATTCCAATGACCCAACCACTACTCCACCTGCCGACCACAGTAAATATTTTCTCAAATCCTCAGTTTTGATGTTTAATGTAAATGTCAGAAGATGCAGACTACACCCACGAGGACTCCTTGGGGTCTGCAGTCACCTTGGAGGGCACAGGGTCCAAAACCGTGTCTGAGAGTGGCTGCTCAGCCGAGTGTCCCCCTGGGCTACCTCCTCAGCCAGGCCCAGCTGCAACCGGTGGTCCCCCACTCCCTCAGTTGACCTTCGGGGCTAGCCCCAGGTGTGACGGGCAGTCGCCTCTGACCCGGGAGAGGTCGGCAGTGAGCCTGTGGGAGGAAGGGACAGGGAGAGGAGTCGCCTCTGACCGGGAGAGGTCGGCAGTGAGCCTGTGGGAGGAAGGGACAGGGAGAGGAGTGGCCAGCCGCCCTGCTCCACTGCGGGCTCGAGGGAGCTTGCCTGCTGTGTGCTTGCAGTCGCCCAGGCCCACGGCGCCGGGCACAGTGAGCGCCATCTTCCCACAGGTGAAAGCTTGGGGACGTGAGCTTCAGTTTATTTTCAACTAACGGCTTGTCTTTCTCACAGAGTTGCCAGTATCTATATTAAACAAGCCAAGTGGCTCTTGTGGATAGAACCGTGTTCGAGACGCCATTTGTAGGCTACGGTGTGCATGGTGTGCCTCGTGCTCAGGGCCGTGGTCCTCTGCGCCAGACTGTGGGCACCGTGTGCTCCTCGCGGGGCGTCCACAGCTCAGGGAGCACTCCAGCTCTCACCACATGTTCTGGGTGCACATCTGAGAACAGGAGAGGGGTCAGGCCAAGGCAGCCCTTGACTGGACGTAGAGGGAGGGGCCTGCTGTGGCCACAGCCCCCGTTCATCTGGGGGGCCTCCGCACATGAGGTGTGTGCCAGTTGGGTGCTCCATCTCTGGGCTGGAGCCCTCTGGGGGAGGTGTTGATGTCAGGGTGGGCCCTGCCAGGCCAGGCCCGAGCACTGGAGATAGCGTAGACAAGCAGGGAGGGGCGTTTGGACGGGACATCCACAGGTTGTGGCCCAGACCTGGAAGCTGCTTTGCAGTTCTGCAGGTACGAGGTACGAGGGCACTCTGCTGCTTGGCCCTGCTGGCTGCCTTGACGATGCCAGTGTGCTCGTGGGTGGGGCCTGCTCTGGCCTGCCCCCGTCATCTATAAAGTGTCACCCACAGCCCGAGTGGGGGAACGGTCATGGCAACAATCCCAGGAGGTGGACACGGAAGGCTGTGAGCTCTGTCCTGCCACACGAAGCTGCCGGGGGGACAGCATCCGGATGGGTGTCCTCAGGGCGCATGGCACACCCGTCTTGGCAGGTCTCTGCAGTGGGGACTGGGCTCCAGAGAGGGAAGCAGAGCATGCCGCTGAGTGGCCTGGCCCACCAAGTGGATGCTCAGCCTCACCCGGTGCTGGGACGGCACTGAGTCTTATGCTGCCCTGGGGGGAAGAGCCAGGGCGCCTGGTGGCCTCTGTGGCGTCGCGCACTGGCGTTGCCCAGAAGAGCTTCAGCAGGGCTGGCGGCACGCAGTGGTGGTGGCCCTCGGAGCCAGGCAGAGCCCATGGCTGCAGCAGCCGCAGCAGAGACACGGCACTCAGGGTGCCAGACACGGTGACTAAGAGGGTCCAGCATAGGTGTAAGGGCGCTGTTCTGACTCCGATGTGGTCACCGGGAGAGTGTTGGTACGGACAGGGTCCATCTGTACCACATGTGTGAGGAGGCAGGAAGGCAGGGGACAGTCAGGGTGGTGGCCACTCCAGCCAGTGTCCCCCCCACTCTGTCTCCTTGGCAGGTGAGCTTGCCTCTCACGGAAGGTGGGCTGGGCCATGCAGCCAGTGCCTGCAGGGGAGCCCGGCCAGCTGGCTCCTGCCCACAGTGGGGACGGACGGCAAAGGGCAGGTGAGGGCGTTCAAATATCAGCAGGCTCAGCCTCGCACCCGTTCCCAGACCCCGAGCTCCAGCCCCCACCAGCCCAGGCACGGTCGACTCTGGTACTGTCTCCTGTCCTCACCCTGCCCTCGGGGGGTGTGCACCCCCCCACACACGTGTCCACATGTACACATGCCCCACATGTGTGTACTACCTATGCATGCATGCACTCTCACGTGCACATCCCCACATGTCCACACATGTACATGCCCTCCACACACACACGCATGCACACACCCCACATGGACACGCCACAAATACGCCCCACATATGTGTACTACCCACACATGCACACACCCCTCAGATGCACATCCCCATACACCCACACCCACACACGCACATGCCCTGTACACACACATCCCCACACATGCACATGCCTACACACACCCCACACTCCACATGTGCACATGCCCCACACATGCGCATGCCCTCCATACACACTCACGCACACACCAGACATGACCAATCACACACAGACACTCCCCATGCATGCATGTGTCCACACTCCCCCACAAGCCCCCACATGCCCCACTCATGCACATGCCGTCCACACAAACACACACACACACACACACACACGCACACACCACACATGACTACCCACACATGTACACTCCACAAACATGTCCCACCTGTGTACTACCCACACATGCATGTGCCCACACCCTCCCGCATGCTCCCACATGCCCCACTCATGCACATGCCATCCACACAAACACGCACACACACCATACATGACTACCCACACATGTACACTCCACAAACATGTCCCACCTGTGTACTACCCACACATGCATGTGCCCACACCTTCCCTCATGCTCTCACATGCCCCATTCACGCACATGCCGTCCACACACACACACACACACACACACATGCATACACCACACATGACTACCCACACATGTACACTCCACAAACATGTCCCACATGTGTACTACCCACACATGCAAGTGCCCACACCCTCCCACATGCTCCCACATGCCACACACATGCACATGCCCTTCACGCACATGCCCATGTGCTGCACACACCACACACGCCCACACAGGCACATGCCCCCGTGCATATTCCCCCATGCCTACATGAACACAATGCCCTCCTTCCACACAAGAAATAAAACTTTCCATTCTTCCTTTCACAAAATTAAAACCTGCAGCTCCTGGCCACAGGGCAGTCCTCCTCTTACAGCAGACCAAGGGAAGGCAGGAGAGGCTGACCAGCAGTCAGCCCCCAGCCCGGACAAGCTCTCCCCGTGGGGCGTGGTCATGACGCCGCCCCGTCCCTCCCTCTCTCTGAGCCGGCAGAATTTGGGCATGCCATGCATGTCCCAGTGTGTTTCTCGAGCTACCGGGGTCAGGATTCAAACCGCAGTCAGCCACATGGGTCTGGCTGTCTTACCACTAGGCTTCAGAGGTGGCCCGAGCAGCACTCTCCTTCGCAGTGGCTAAAGGCAGGGAGGAAAAGGCAGGACAGCGTGGTGGCCTCTAGCCCTGACGAGCGCCCTCCCAGGTCCTGCTGGCCACCTGCCCCAGCCTGGAGAGCCCCGCGGTTCTGAAGTCCCCACTCTAACAGTCCTGGCTACAGTTCCATTGTCACCTGAGTGTCCCCTGTCAAAGAGGAGCAGTAGTGACAGCTGCTCACTGAGGACACTATTTGGGGCAAGTGGCCAACTGTCAGCAATGGGAGCCTCTGTCTTCCGGAAGACCTCCATCCTGTCACCACTATCTGCTCCCGGGCTCCACGTGTGGCAAGCCCCTGTCTCAGTCCTTGCCTGCCTCACCCTCAGTTTCCAGGGCTGGGCCCAGGACAGCCCCCTGGACTCTGCAGCCAAGTCCGGACCTCGGTCATGCTTATCAGAGCAGGGGCTGATGAGCAGCCTCTCCTTGACCCCACGCCCCCTCCCCAGTGTGCCCCGCCCTGCCCTGCTGGGCCTCACTGCTTATGCCAGCCCTGGAGCCGGGCCCTGGCCTGCTCTTTCTGGAGCCACTTCCAGGGCTCCCCCACACATGGTCACCGCTGAGGTTTCCCCGAGGGGGAAGGGCCCAGCTCCCAGACTCGCTGGCTGGGCCTCCCCTCCTTCCTGCTGTGCCCCCAGCCTGCCCCGGTCACTCTTCGGCTGTCTGTGGCTTCTGATCTCCAGGGTCAGGTGGGTTTCCCAGGCCCTGTCCCATTGGGTCCAGCTCTTCCATCCTCCTTCCTGGCCTGGAGCCCTGGAAGCCCCTTTCAGAGACACTTTCCGACCCGAGACAGGCTCTCCACTCTGCATGGTGTGGCCAGCATGCAGCCTTGGGGGCCAGCACTCCATCCCACCTGAGTGGACCCTGAGTCCCCTGGCTGGCCAGTCTGCAGACCCATGTTTCTGCTGGACCTGAGGGGTCCTTCAGCTCCTCCAGGCCCCACGAGGGAGGAGACCGAGCACGTCGGAGGCCCCTTCTACACAGATGCTCAGCCTCG